GTGTCCACTGAGTGCCTCTTTGCTGTGGTCCTCTGGATGTCGAGCGGCAGCCCCACAGCGCAGCACTTCCTCCTGGGCTCCACTTGACCGTCTCTCAGTCTGGCGTGAAAAACGGATCCTCCGGGACTGGCCAATCACGGCTCTCTGCCGCACACACGGCATCTCCAACAGGGGCCCACTACCACTCGACCCTGCTGTCATCCTGCCCTCTCCCCCACCTCCCATCTCTCAGTTCTTTGACACAAAGATCACTTTAGCTGGAAGATGTAATAGTCATATTTCTGGAATTTTTGCCAGTGTACTTTGTATTTTTTGGAAAAGATCATTTGACTTTTTTTTTTTTTTTCCAGTGTGTTATATTGTTATTTTTATCTACATGCAGTGGTCTACAAAGTACTGGCTGCTGAACTAGCCCTTCACTGTTCATATGCAGAAACACTTTGGTCAGAGGTGCCTCTGTATGTTCATCCTGTGTATTGAATGCAAAATGAGGATCAATACTACAGACCGTTAATGATTGTCTATTTGTTTTTAACTGATCATGCTTTCTTCGTTTGACAGTATTCTGTAGTACTTCCAGGTAGTATCTTGAGATGTGTAAGAAAAAAAAAAGGTGTCTCAGACGGGGGATGTGGGTGTTTGCCGCTCCAAGCTGCTCCACCTGCCCGCAGGCTGTCCCCCCTTGCCCTTTGCCTAGCTGCTATGCTATGACCTCCTCTCCTCCTCCACCACAAGAAGACCCAGTAGCCCTCCCCTGACCAAGCACCTACAGGCCCTCATATCTGTTTCTATGCAAAAAGACGAGAGGCTGGGGCCCTTTACAGCACGCCAAAGCTGTCTTGGGAATGAGCACTCCTCCCAGAGCTTGGCATATCCTAACAATTGTCCCCCACGCGCTCCTGTCAGCACTTCAAACTGGCCGCAGTTTCTGTAAAGTCAGGCTCAGCCACCAGAACACTGTCATGTATCTAAAAGTTAGAACACTTTATCAAAAGGTCGGCCTTTCTCTCTGAGCTGAAGACGCTTCTGTCCAGCTTGATCTCAGGGTAGGGGAGTTGATGATACAAAGTATGAGATGCAGCTCTCCGTATCTGTCCTTTCTACTGTGAGAGCAAAGTCTAAAACTTCGAAGGCCATCTGCACGCAGCAGGACGTACAGACCTCATGCCTCGAAACTGAATCCTTATTGTTGGGGGGAAGAGGCTCGCATTGAATCCTCTTCCCAAAAAGATGGCCTCTTGTTATTGTTTGGGGAGACATTATTGCATGTAAAAAGATGCCAATGTATTGTGCCAATATAAATTTGCTGTGTCATACTGTATATTTATAGAGAGCACTTCTGTTCCCTGTTTGGAGGAGCTTTGATGACCTTTGCAGAGGGTGTAGGGGGGGACAGGAGGGATCAAACAAAAGGGCGGCAGCATCACACCCTGAAGCGACTGAGATTTTTTTTTATGCTTTTGTGGGGAATGCCCCAAGCTAAGGAGAAAATCTTTACTCAGTTGGGGGTTCCGGTTTGCTACAGTGCACAGTTGATGATGGGTAATCCCGGGTACATATTTTTTTAAAACCAAAAATGAAATTGCATTTTAACGTCATTTTTATGAAGTTTGACATAAAAATCTTAAAAATGCTAAAAAATCTAAATGGAAAAAAAAAGATCTATAATATGTTAAAAGCTCTGCACTTCTAGCTGAAACGTCTCTGGTCATCAGCCTCTGCTACCAACATCTAAAGGAGCAGAGCGGTGGCTGGGGTGCCTTTTTTTTGTGGATGCTGTATTTATCTCGTTTTACGTTTGTGCCCTGCTCAAAGCAGGCCCACTGAACTGTACATTTCCACAGACCCAGGTGGCTTGGGCCCACTGTATCAGCCTCACTCTCTGATTCTGCATCAGCAGGAGCAGAGAGGCACATTTCAAGAGGTACAAAGTCTTAAAAATGAAACAAAAAAACAAAAAAAAAGCTTAAAAAATATATATTAAAAAAAAAATAAAAATAAGAAAACGGGAAAAGGCTACCTTTCAGGACTTTCAGTCCTGCAGCACACAAGCAAAAATCACTATTGCCTGTTTCTGTAACTGCCTTGATCCAAGCTCAGACAGACCCAATAGCCGAGGACCTCCCAGCATCCTGTACTAACTGGAGAACCCTGACAGTGAAGGGGGTTTCCCATGCTGCACCAGCATCGAGAGGCTCTCCTCTCTACAGCTCTGTTCTAGATAGCAGTATATGTATACACTACATATAAATATATATATCTATATATATACATATACTGTGAGTACGGTGTGTGGTATCACCTCTTCAGACTTCTTGGATCGTAACCTCTGAAACTTTCATTTTAGTTTGAAAGGTCTTGGTTTAACACAGCTGAAAATGAGCAATATGTATTTTCCCCGCAAATAAGTGAGACAAAGGAAAGAATTTGGGTCGGGTATAAACTGATACTTGACTGATCGAAAGCAAAGTCTTTCTTGTACGGAGTCAGATATGCACGTTCTGGTTTTGATGACATATTACAGTACTATGAAGTGTTTGTACTGTATATGTGTGTTATTTGTTTGTTAATTAGGCTGCCTAAAAGCCCAACCTGAATCACCTGGTTTAATGCATATTTTACCCAGTTGATTAAAAAAAAAAAAAAAAGAAATCACAAACATATCAAAACAAAACAAAACAAAACATTGAACAGAAATACTTGAATCATTGAACGCCAATAACATAATGTGAAGTCAGTAATTATTATTTTTTTGTTCTTTCCATCTGACAGGTACACTTAGGGGCTTTTAGAGAACACCAGATGTGTATTGCATTAAGTTACAAATACAAAATCTTTGAAAAAAACAAAGTCATCTTAGATGTGTGCTTGAAAGTCAGATGTTTGTATGAATGTGTGCTCAAGAAACTGTGTACAGGGCACGTGGCCTGCTGTTATGTTCCACTCAGTACGTTATATTTTGTGTCTGTTTATATCTTCTTTTTTTCGTTGTTGTTATTGTTGATGATCTGTCAAAAACTATTCTGATAGACGTTGTTATCTTCTAACGTTGCACTGAGTGTCTTCTACCCCTCACTCAGCTAATCGTAGTTAAACGAGTCTAAGTACGGAGGGGCGATGGTGACAATTCATGTGTACATGTTTACTCAAGGACTTTGTTTTTCCATTCTGTAAAAAGTTTATCTACCTTATAGTGGCTTTTATTGTGGAATAATCCAATACAAGGATTATCTTGAGTATTGCACCATTTTGTTCCAATTATATAAAAAAGGAAATAGGAAAAAAAAATTAAAAAAGAAAAATGTGCAAAAAAAAAAATGATAAAAGGAAAAAAAAAAGAGTAACAAAAACAAAACAAAACAAAGAACTGTGGCCATAGATAGCTGTAGAAGGACTAGTAATCCCGATTTTAACTTCATGGAGAGACGGAAAGGGATAAAGTGTGGGAGGTGAGTTTGTTATAAGACTCATTTCAGAGGTGCCTATCTTTTCTTTTTTTATTTTGCAAAAGCCACCTGTCGTTTACAAAGCATTTCATTTATCGGAGTTCAAGGAAACAGGAATGTTTTTTGGTTTAGTTTTTTGTTTTTAAGGACAAATTTCATCTTCCATCAAATATGGACATGAAAATCTTGCAAAATGAAGATTTATGCTACTTTCAGAACTCTGGGATTGATCAGTGTTGTCATATTTCAATTTTTAATTTCTCTTTTAGTATCGATGGACTATCTCTGTATGTGTTACATGGTGATTTTATGTTTTCTGTAATACTGCAACGCAGTTTACTCACTATCTTGCACACTCATTAAAAAAAAAAAAAAAAGATGTGGATTTTGTCTCAGGAAGGCCAGGGTTCCAGATACCAACTCCATCATTTCTAGGTTTGATGTTCGTGTGAAAATAAGCAACTGAGAACTATTAAACTCCAAGAAAGCACTGAAGTTTATGAGTTTAACAGAATATAGAGAGTACCATTGTTTCTTTAAAACAACAAAAAATGTTCGTAGCAAGTCACATATTTACCAAATAAGACTAAGAATCAACTTTGAGAAAAGTGGAGCGCTTTACATGTGAAATTTGAAGTAGAAATTGCTTTACATTTAAACGCGATCAGTGGTTTGATTGTCATTATGACAGTGACAGGAAAATGCATTTGTATGTTTTGACTTTGAGTTTCCATCCTGTAGTTCAGGAGCACGTGCAAGACACTCTTTGTTTGTTTGTTTTAAAATCATCTCTCCTGCCTGTTAACATGTCAGTTCCTGTGACAGGTATTCAATAGCTGAGAGATTTCTTAACATGTAACAGATGGTTTTCAGAGGCATGTTGAAGAGGAGGAATAAAGCTGGTTTTTAATGGATCATGATCTATGCACAAGTGGGAGGGAGGAGTCCAAACCCTGCTGCTGTACTGCGGCGTTTGTCGACTCAGACTCTGGGGTTCAGGGTTTGATGGAGGGTTTTCATTTTTTTGTGTGTTTTTTGCTGAAATTTCTTCCACTCCCATCCCACCCATTGTCATCTAATGTTTTAGCAAAATTTTACATTGCGTCGTCATGCTGTGTAATCCTTAACCAATGAGCGCTTATCCTTCTGCTAAAGCACTGTGGGTTGTACTGAGGAAAAAACAAAAAGAAGCCCGTTACTTTTAAGGCTGTTTTTTTTTTTTAAGGGGAGGACGGCGGGTGGGTTGTGGGAGTGGGGGTACTTTGCCTTTGCCTTTCTCTTTACTTTGAAGAAAAAAAAAAAGTGAAATTGTCTGTAACTGAAATACAAAGTTGTGGCTTTTAATGTTGTTCTTTTTTTTTCTCCTCATAGAATGTGATTGTTAAAGACATGCACCGAAGAAAAAAAAAATGTTTCCATGGAACTTCTTTCGGACTATATTAATAAACTGCAAATTTTCTTGTCTGTTATTTTGTATCTTGTCCTGTTTTTTTTTTGTTTTTTTCTTTGTTTGATTGTATGTTTTTTTTAATAGTAGAAGGGAAAAAAAGCTTTTTGGGGGGCAACTAAAATCAAACTTTTAAAGCTGTTTTTAGCATATTTTACTTGTGATTCCATACGTGCAGATTTTAAGGTCTGGTGAACATTTTTATAATGCTCCAAAGTAACAGCCAAGAGCTATGTTGAAGGTACAATGTGTAAAATCTCAGCACCTTTCAATTGCAGCCAACTGAATTCTGGTTTCTTACCCCTTCCAATTTAATTGCATAATCCTAGTTACAGTGGCTGCTGTAGGGAAAAACACACTGTGGTAGTTTTGGTAGTTTATCTGTTGTAAATGCAGGCTGTTAGTCGGCTGTTTACCTCAGCTGGCAATGCCAGGTGAAATGCGTGAAAACTAATACAAGTCGCAGAAGCTCACTTCTGCTTTTGATGGTATCCTGAACGTTTGTTAGTAAGCGCTGCTGTTGGCTGATATTAGTGAAACTTTCTTTGAAGTGGATCTAACATTGGACATTCCATTCAGTTCAGTTAAATTCAATTTTATTTATGTAGCACCGATAACAATAACTTAAAACCAGCTGTTTTAAGTTATTGTCTAGCCCACTTGTCAGCTGTCCAGAGGTGGAAGGGTGGCATGTCTCAAAGTAAGTAATAATAATGTTTAGGCATCTTTTGATGTGTTACAGCTCTGATGATGAGGATGAAAATAAGCATGTACAATTCTTAAATGATCATACATAGTTTGAAAGCAGTTTAATCCCCCCCCCCCCCCCCAAGAAACAAAAAAAAACTTATAAGGTGTACAATAGGTCTGTAAGTGGTCGATCTCTTGCTAGATACGTAAAACAAGATCAGGCAAAACGTGTCCGTCTCAGCTGCTGTATTTAAAATAGCAGGACAACATAGCAGCTTCCACAGACCGGCGCTCTTTCCTGTGTATTTTAAATGGATTCTTTTTTTTTAGTTTATGAGCACATCAATTTGTTGTAGCACATAATCACACACTAATCATTGTATAGTTATGAGTACATCATTTTTTTTCTATTACATAATCTCAAAAATTACTGTATCTTTAAGATTTTGTTTAATTATTTTTATTTTATTATTATTATGTATTTATTTATTTTACCAATAATCTTAAAACTGCAGAGTTGGCTGTAGCTTACGAGGTAGAGCAGGTCATCTACTAATTGGAGCTTTGGTGGTTGTCTGTTCGCTCTCTGATACATTCATTGGAGTATGGATGTCTGAAAATGTTAGAACTTAGGTGCAGACAAAACATACTTGTATGAATAAGTGAATGAGGCTGTTGTTGTTTAAGGCACTATACAAGAACCAGCCCGTCTTTGCCTTGCATTATAAAACACTTTGAGATAACTGTTGTTGTGGTTTGACACCATATAAATAAACTTGAATTGAATATTCTTTTCTTAGTTAATAATTTGGTTCAGTTCTTGACTGAAAGTCAAAGTGATGTAAAATCCTTCAGAACATTTAATTTATGTACGACTTCACGGAGTGTGATGGGTTAGACAGACTCACCTCCCAGAGGTGAGCGTTGTACATGAAGTGAAACTTAGACCAAAATAACTCATTGTAACTGGAAACAAACACATTCTGGGCACTACAGCCTCACTTCACTTCTCCTGATCTGAGGAAACCACTGACTGTGTCTTTATAGGGCTGTCTGTACACACACAGTTAGTTTAGCTGGTGCCAGTAGCTAAAGCCAGTAAACCTACAATTAAATGACACTCACTAACTGATGACTGCTACGTAACTTAATAGCACCATACAGAGACAAATGTTCATAGCAATGTATTTTTTAAGTGATAAAACAAAAGAAAAAAGCCCACCGCCACCTGATTTAGCCCAACTGCTATTAAAAAAAGAAATCAGGCTTTGGAGTCTCAGAACAAATGTATGATCAAAGGAATAAACAACATTTAAACCTGCAACATAGTAAAAAAAAAAACTGAGACTGCATTTGCTTTAAAATGACTTTAATGCAAACTGCAACACAATGCTCACACAAACAAATCTGGGATAGTAAGTGAAACAGTGGTAGCTACAGTAAACCACAGCAAATAAACACATTTAGAAAACAGTACGATGCAGCATGTAAAAAAAATGACATATTAACACATGACACAATTGGTGAGAAGTGAGTATTCACCGACCTTGTCCCAACGACGGTAAAATTTCTGATTCGTGTTAGAATTTCCTTTCATCGCAAGTGTCCTCAATCCTATAAACAGTACAGTTGTGTAGATGAAGTTGCAAAACAATCAAAATCAGCACAACTGCCAAAAATTGAGCCACAACAGTTTCTCATTGTTAACAGGTAATTTGCCATGACTGTTTGCATGAACTATATTTATTATATTTAACTATATTGATGACAACACTAACGGTCATGACGGTTTCAAATTAATAAAAGCAAAAATGGCTTATTGTTAGGCAATGATGCTAGTTTTGAATGTTATGCAACTGCTCGGTTTATAAAGCTGGGAAACCTGCGGTCAACTGAGACTGAAGAAATCAGTTGGATGAGTGATGAAACATTTCTCCCATTTCTCCCTGCAACAAGTACAGATTTCTATCTTTTTTTCAGAGCTAGCTGAAATATAATTTTGTGCTGTTCATTTTGCTTTAGGATAAACTGCTTAGTTTTCTGTGTTGTGGTGATGTTTGCAGCCCTCTGTGCTGGACTGGTGCAGGGCTAGGTGTGGTGTTCATTTTAGATGAAACCCCGCCAGATTCAATTCACGTCTGATTATTTTCCATTAACATTTTCTTACTGGTTTCCTTCAAAATGTTACATTGTATTATTGCATGGTTACATTGTAATGCTGGTTCTCTGAGTGAAGAGACTCACTCACATTCCATATGTAGCCGCTTACTTCCACCTATACTGGCTAGTGTACTTACTCAAAGAACCAGTGTTACAATGTAACCATGCATTCTTCATTCCTTCTTCCTGTTATATAACCCAAATGTTCAGTTTAACGTGTAAAAAGGTGACTGAATGTACTACAAGATAAGTTCAGTATATCTTTGTGTTGTCTGTCTTCACAAAACCTAAAAACCTCAGTTAGAGATAACGAGTATTGCAACACTGATTATCTACTTCCTTTGTCAACTCAGGCTTTCTGCTAAGTTGAGTCACCGCACACCAGAACGAAGCCCTTTGACAGATTATTTGGCTCTTTGTCTGCTAAAACGGATCAACTTACCACTATCTACTCCAATCTGAGACAACTGCTAAGTAACTGGAAAGGATATGTATACTGGGATATGTAACGGAGTGCAGAATAAAATTCAGTAATGTACAGAGCATTTAATCACTATGATCACAGCAAAAGCAGCCAAAGTTATTTTATAATAAGGTTAAAAAAAATGTCAGAATGCAAGCTGTCTAGCAATATGCAGGAGATTTAAAAGATATAAGAATTCTGCACACTAACTGGAGTTTAGTGTTTTTGGACACTCTAGTTTATGATGTTGATGAGAGCACCTCTTGAAATTCATAGGGGTTCCCCAGGTGAAGTTTACTTTGTTGGGAAGCTTCTGTTATTTCCCTCTGATGGGCAGGTGCTTGTGTTTGACTGGGAGGTGTTGCCCTACCCATTTCCTCGTAGACATCGGCTTCATGTGACTTCATACTCTGAGATCCTTTGCACTGACAGTCATTGTGAAAGGAGGAGAAAAAAGACAGAATTAACATACACTCACGATTTCCTGTGTTGAAATCAAAATGCATCATTTTCTCTCAATGCAGCATCCTCTGTGGAAATTTAAGAAGAAGTGTTAACCTAACTCAGACATGACTGTAATACCATTTTATTAGCGCTCAAATAACCTGAAATAAACTAGAAGAGGAGGGGGTTTAACTCAAAGGTGCCAACTGGCTGCACAAAGTTTTGAAACCAGTGGGGGTTTCTGTGGTTAGCTGCAGAGGATCTTGATGGCAACAAACAGGCAGTGTAGGTGGAAATACTTGTGACACATTTCCACCTCTTGCCTCGTGTATATATGTATATTCAAAGTGGCACATAAAAAGCTACTCACTTTAGAAATCACCACAAATCCAGTGAAGAGCAGAAGGAGAAAAACCACAGCTGATGACAAAGCGTACACCAGAAAGGAGTAACTGGAGCCACCAAACTGAGCACCTGTAGGCACAAGGTCAAAGCATCCTACGAGGAACCAGACAGAGACGTTCAGAACCTCTGACCCTGTGCTAACATCATACTTATTGCACAGTTGGCACAATTCTTGATTGATACTCCAAATCTCAAAACGACACAAACTCCTTCACAAACATTTGACTTGTGAATACGTTACAGATGATTTCTCATTCATTATTGCCATCTGCAAAAATGTAATAACATTAAGAAAAATGGCGAGTGCATCTTTGAACAATTATTGAATGTTTATTTCTTTACAATCCAAAAGGTCTATTGCATTATTTATAATTAGGTTAACTCTCACACATCACTGATACAAAAATCCCTGACTACTGTATACTATTCGAGACAATGAGTCATACATCCCCATTTATATCAGCAGTGTCACCAGACGTATTTGTACAGTTACTTATTTAAGCTGTCTCTCACATACAACACTGGCTCATTTGATGTCATTTACAGACTTTGTGTCAGTTGTCCACATGCCCACAGACTAACTTGTAAAAAGGCAAACGGTGCTGTTGTAATACAGGGGTTATGTTTTAGAGCCTTTAAGTGCTCCGTAGCACCTGATCTAATCAATTAAAAGTTATCCAGGACCCTCTGGGAACTAAAAAGAGGAGAAAGACTGCCTCTTTAGAGTCATCCCTCCCAAGCCAAGCCTTCCTCCATGTTTGGGGAGGCAGGGGAGCATGGCTGAACCCCAGGCACACATCTCTGTCACCTCTACGTCCGCTGACCTCTGTCCTCAGCTCCATCTCCAGAGGGAAAGGCAAACAACGTGAAGTAACAGACAGGGGTACCAACAGTAAGGATTTTTCCTAAACTTTTAAAAAGCTAGGTTCACACTTTAATTCATCTTTTGATATTGTTGCTGTGTGTATGAATCTGGCACCGTGTGTTAATGAGCAAATTTATATTTAATTTCAAATTCTTACGCAAAAAGTTGATAAAAAACTGCATCTATGAAAAGAGAAGAAACTTGGGCAACTCAAATATTAAAATCAGACCTGAACTTTCAAGATGTTTGAGACACCGTCTTATGCTTTGTACTCCAAGAGACGGGTACTATAACTCAAACTGGCCAAAAAGAAAGTCGATGCTGGTTGTGTGTAGACCAGTCAGAGTGCCCCTGTCGACTGCTGAAATCACTAAAGCATCATTACTGGACACAATGGAAGAAGGTGACCTGGTCTGTTGAATCACGTTTTCATTTACATCACATGGCACTAGGATGAAGTATTAGAAGAAAGCAACATGACAGAGATGATGTGATGCTTTGGGCAATGTTCTGCTGGGAAACCTCAGGTCTTGGCATCCATGAGGATGTTACTTTGACACATGCCACCTGCCTAAGCGGTTTTGCAGACCATGTACAGCTTTTCATGGACATGGACATATTCCCTGGTGGCTATGGCTTCTTTCAAAAAGGATAAAGTGCCGTTGCCACAAAGCAAAAACGGTTTAGGAAAGGCTTGATGAGCACAACAACGAAGCTGACGAGTCGACTTGATTTGATGTGCTAGACAAACAAGTCCAATTCCCAATACAACAGCACCACATACTTACTTTGGAAAAGAGTAGAGAGATTTTTGCCTTTATACTCAACAGTTCTGGAAATAAACAAAAAAAACCCTCTAGTTTGAATAAAAAACAAAATTGCACTCACCAGCACCAACAAGGAGGAAGAATTCCATCTTTCCACGTATGCGGTCATCTGCAGAGGAAAGATTTTCCACGACAAACTCGCAGTAGTAGCGATCTGTGTCGCTGGCGTTCAGCTGAGAGATGGTGATATTCACAGAATGAAGGCTCGGGTCTCCCCTGACGCGAATGCGGCTTTTGTCAGCAGAATTTTTAACTGTAAAGTCTTCCTTGGTGTACTTGAACAGCACTTCTTCTTCAACCAGCCAGGATCGTTTGAGTGAGACTCCCAGGGGCGCTGGGTACCTCTGTTCAATCTCACAGGGAAGAACAACGGATTCACCCTCATACTGCTTCAAGAAGTGAATCTCACTGCAAACTTGATGAAAATTTTAAAAAAGGAAAAAAAAAAGAAAGGCATCACAAACAGAGAAGAACCACACGTGATTTATTTTTAGCCCGAATATATTTGTAATTTATCTCTGTCTCCTCTCGCTTTTTTATTACTCGTCTGACCAAAGCTAGCTGGGTTCTTAGGCCCTCAGATAGGGTCCTTCTTGTGATTCTACATACAGGGACGAAACTTCACTCCAGAACTTTAGAACAACTTACCACTCACGCTTTGCACCCGTGACTGTGTGGCCTCTTTTGAAAAGTAGCTTAAAACTTTTGTTCAATAGAAATTTGGGTTGTGGTTTGTGACCTTTTGCACAGTTTGTGTGTGTTCATTTCGCTTTCCTGGGTGATTTTTACTGATACCTATGCAAAACACTTTGTAACTGTTCCTCATCTTGAAAAGGACTATATAAATTAACTCTCTGTTTACTTAAAAGCGCATTTTCAAAAAAGTTGGGCTTGTGTAATACCATACAATGGTATACATTCAGTACATACATATAAATAAACAGTAAACAGCAGTGAAAAGTGTATATTCTAACATCATATTATAACAAATGTAAGAGATTATCCATCAGGACTTTTAAAAAGTGGCTTAGCCCAGAAATTATTCAGTGACTTTTCGGTTCAGCCTCACAGAAAAAAGCAAACGATCAAACTGCCAGCCTGAGCTGTGCAAAAAAAAAAAAACTTACCAAAACCAGTCTGTGTGATGACAAAAGCCCACGAGTAAGCCAGGTACTGAATCCCAGACATCTGGTCCACTACCACAAAGCAGTAAATAAGATCTGGAGAGAATTATGAGATTATAGATGGCAGGACTCTTAAATGGACTTCAAAACTAGATTCATTGAAAATGAAACTATGTGAAACTTCATTAGCCCCACCTTCAAACCTCAAGACACAAACAAAAGGAAGTAAAAACTAACCAAGCGGTTAGTGGAATAGTTCTCCCGGCTTTCTGAGTGTAAAACACAAGTCAAAAAAAAGAAAGAAGAGGAAATTCTTTGGACAGTGGCTGCTTTTTCATCCACTTTCAGTCCAGTACAGATCATTTTCATTGACCACTAATTCTTCTTTTTTAATTTGCTTATTTGTTTGTTAGCAACTCTGACCTACACTATATTGCAGAGTCTTCTCTCAGCTTTCCAATTCATTGTATTCATGTGTTCCAGTTACTCCGAAGGCCACAGGTGTATAAAATGAAGCACCTAGGCATGCAGATTGCTTCTACAAACATTTGTGAAACAATGGGTCACTCTCAGGAACTCGGTGAATTCCAGCTTGGAACAGAATTATAACAAAATGGAAGTGATTGGGAACGACAGCACTGCAGCTATGAACAGTTGTAAAGCCACAGAGTGGGGTAAACGGATCCGAGGCAGAAGTTGCCAACTTTCTGCAGAGTCAGTTGCTACTGGGGCTTGTTTTTCACGAGCTGAGCTCAGCCATAACAAGAGTACTTACAGAGAGCAACCCCTGCACCAAAGGGCAAGCTTTCTCCATGTCCTTTCATGTGATATGTTATACTCGCAGGCCTTGCAATCTTACAAGGCCTTGTTTAATGTTGTGAAATTTGATGACTGATAATATAATGTTTTGACTAATTTTCATTTTTGGTGTAACAACCAAAACTGAATTAGCTCGAGCTTGTACTAATAGCTACCGTCGCACAAAATTTGACAAAGATTTTATTCAAACAGTAGATCGCACACTCTTATAACAGAACCAGCCTCAGCTGTCGACTGGTCTGATAAACCTCATTGTGTGGGACCCCAGCAGCTGTTATAAAGTGGGGTGTTTACTAAAGCACAATGGAAAAAATAAAAAATAAAAATGAGGAAGACATGGGTGCAGTGAGACGAGAGGAGGGGAGAAGACGTTGTTTCCTGTTGTTGCAGCAGCAGAGACGGCCTCAGATACAAACTGAGGTTGTTGCTTCTCCACGTGTGGGTGACTTGACCACAATTTGAAACTGAGGCCCTTAATATTTCTTAAATATGTGTTATTAGAAGGTAGGACTGTCATCATATATTTAGCAAGAGATTGCCAAACTGTCTCGCACGTCTATTTTTAATCAACTGAAAAGCTTACATCAGACAATATCACAAAATACCCACAACTCTATTGCATTACAAATATAAAACCATGCACAATGTTTGAAAGTTCATGCTTTATTAGAATAGAATAGAATAGAATAGAATAGAATTCAACTTTATTGTCATTGCACATGTCACAGGTACAAGGCAACAAAATGCCTTGTTTGTAGCCAAACCCACAGAAATGCGGCAACACCAATAAGTCCATGATGTCTTCCTGACAGTCCAAAAAGACTCGTATAGATTGAAATTCTTTGTTTTTACATTCATCAGAGCCCAGCGTGCCCAAATATCAAAGAGAAATTAAAAATGCATGCCATGGAAGAGTTCGGGTCTAAGGAGGTTGAAGAAATAGACTCATGCCACCCACAGAAGATAAAAATCAATTGAAAAGAATTGGAATATTGGAATATTTCAATTCCAAAATGAATGTTATACATTTGTCTATGAGCCTGGGAGTAGGGATGGGAATCTACAAGAATTGGTTCTTCTAGATTAGGCTAGGGATTTGTGTTTCAGGAGCGGGACCTCGCCTCCAAACACACCCCTTCCGGGTCATATATATATATCACCCACCCAGTTCTACAAGCTGTTTGTTCTCATGTTCAGGCTCCACCTTCCATCCCCTCTGCCAGGCCTGGGAGCTGCTGCCAGTCCCCATTGAGGCCTTCCCCAAACCCCAGCTCAATTCTTGATTAAGCCATTCGCCTTTATCTCTTAAAAAAACGCTGCCCGCCTAAAATGAAGACGTGAGCCCAGCTAGTGAGTTGGTTTGTATTGATAAACGGTAATTTTGAGACAATGCGTTTCAGCTATTTTACAGTAACATGAAAGTAATGTAACGAGTAATGGAAATTAATTACTTTCTCCTGGGAGTAATTAAGTAAATTTTTTGAGTAATTATTGTAATTCGGTGTAACTGTATATATACAGGGAGTGCAGAATTATTGGGCAAATGAGTATTTTGTCCACTTCATCCTCTTCATGCATGTTGTCTTACTCCAAGCTGTATAGGCTTGAAAGCTGCCACTTGCCACCAGTTTGGCCATATTTCAGAGCTGCAACATCACTGGAGTGCCCAAAAGCACAAGGTGTGCAATACTCAGAGACATGGCCAAGGTAAGAAAGGCTGAAAGACGACCACCACTGAACAAGACACACAAGCTGAAACGTCAAGACTGGGCCAAGAAATATCTCAAGACTGGTTTTTCTAAGGTTTTATGGACTGATGAAATGAGAGTGAGTCTTGATGGGCCAGATGGATGGGCCCGTGGCTGGATTGGTAAAGGGCAGAGAGCTCCAGTCCGACTCAGACACCAGCAAGGTGGAGGTGGAGTACTGGTTTGGGCTGGTATCATCAAAGATTAGCTTGTGGGGCCTTTTCGGGTTGAGGATGGAGTCAAGCTCAACTCCCAGTCCTACTGCCAGTTTCTGGAAGACACCTTCTTCAAGCAGTGGTACAGGAAGAAGTCTGCATCCTTCAAGAAAAACATGATTTTCATGCAGGACAATGCTCCATCACACGCGCCCAAGTACTCCACAGCATGGCTGGCAAGAAAGGGTATAAAAGAAGAAAAACTAATGACATGGCCTCCTTGTTCACCTGATCTGAACCCCATTGAGAACCTGTGGTCCATCATCAAATGTGAGATTTACAAGGAGGGAAAACAGTACACCTCTCTGAACAGTGTCTGGGAGGCTGTGGTTGCTGCTGCACGCAATGTTGATGGTGAACAGATCAAAACACTGACAGAATCCATGGATGGCAGGCTTTTGAGTGTCCTTGCAAAGAAAGGTGGCTATATTGGTCGCTGATTTGTTTTTGTTTTGTTTTTGAATGTCAGAAATGTATATTTGTCAATGTGGAGATGTTATATTGGTTTCACTGGTAAAAATAAATAATTGAAATGGGTATATATTTGTTTTTTGTTAAGTTGCCTAATAATTATGCACAGTAATAGTCACCTGCACACACAGATATCCCCCTAAAATAGCTAAAACTAAAAACAAACTAAAAACTACTTCCAAAAACATTCAGCTTTGATATTAATGAGTTTTTTGGGTTCATTGAGAACATGGTTGTTGTTCAATAATAAAATTATTCCTCAAAAATACAACTTGCCTAATAATTCTGCACTCCCTGTATGTATGTTTGGGCTCGCTAAAGTTGTTTGAGTTCATCCAAGCTGGTGAGAGACGGTGTCGGGGTTTCACAGGAGTTCTTCGACAAGGATTTCTTTGCTATTTAGAGGACTCCACTTCCTTTAACTTGAGAGGGGCTCGGTTTTGGGTTGGGACATCTCTCTTTGATCACCTGCTGGTAAATCGAGGGTTCAGGATGTTACTCTGCACGGTGGTGAGCTTCACGCTTACAGTCATCGAGAGAGGAAGGGTGGAGGAAAATCAAAAATCAGTGAAGGGTACAAACAGAGTTAACACACGCTCTTGATTTCCTGTGTTAAAATCAAAGTTTGTCAAATTTTCTCAAGACCACATCCTCAACCGAAACTCTTCAGAAAAGCTTAACCTGAGTCTGACCTGACCCTGAAAAAAAAGACTGCATTTTATCACTAATATGAATGTAATAAACAAGCAAGAAGAGGAGGGTTTCAAAATATGCCTCACTGAACTTTAAGAAAACATGCTGATAACTGCATGCACATGAAACCTGTGTGGTTTTTGTGGTGAGCTGCCGAGCAGGCATGACCGTAACAAGCAGCTACTTATTACACTTCCACTGTGCACGTGCGTTCTTATGTATATTCAAAGCAGCACATTGTAATCAGAAATCCACTTTTTGCATACATCACCAAAAATCTAATGAGGAAAAGGAGAAGGAGAACTCCCACAGCTGATGACAAAGTGCACAGCAGAGAGGAGAAACTGGAACAACTATGCGACGCAAGGCCAGAACATCCTGCAAGATTCAGTTTCTCGGACACTGTGCTGCTGTCAGTTGCTTCAGCTCAATTTTAATAGTTAGTTAACCTAGTAAAAAAAATTTCAAATCCTACAAAACATGTCATTTATGAATGACAGATGATTTCTCATTCATTTGCGAACATTTCATCACATCAAGACAAATCATGAGTAACAGTTAATGGCTGCATATACTGTCATGACCTAAAAAATATTGTAGTTATTAGTTATTATAGACTATTCCATCACTTCTTTAACCCTTACTTGGCATCGCTGCTACTACTCCTCACTATCAGATACCATTCCCCATCTCCCAATTTATATCACCAGTCACTGCTGCTATCTCATTAAACTTACTCAGACATAAAATCTAAAAACATACGTAAAACTTGAATTTTATCTCTTTTTAATGTGTCTTAGTTTGATCGTGTTATTAGTTGACTGCACAGCCAAATAAGGTGAAATGGGAACATGATGCATAGCATGTGCTTCAGAGCCTCAGAGCACCGAGTCCAATCAATGAAAAGTCATCCAGTGATATTGATAGTGTTCGGAAAAGCTAGAAACTGTGGTGTGACCCACCTCGTACAGACATGCACAATGCTAGTCTCTCTAGGTTGGTACTGCAATCGGGTTGACTGTGCAGGATCAGCTGGCAGCATCATTGTTACCTGTGAATCTCTCCTGGTGTGCCCTAACTAATCAGAAGGATTGGCCATAGAGACAGAAACAGAAACAGACTTCATCCTCCAAGCAACATCCTCTGGGGCGATCGTGGCTCAAGAGTTGGCAGTTCGTCTTGTAATCGGAAGGTTGCCGGTTCGAGCCC